ACATCCTCTTTCTTCCCACCTTTCTTTCACTTTGCTCCTCAAAAGCCACATCTGTAAAACTTTCTTCTACTGTGCTGCTGGCACAGAGCCCTTCGGCTGGATTTCTAAGTGTGGACAGAGCTTGCCCTGGGCTCAGCCCTCCACATGCTTTGCGCCTCTCTGCACACACGTCACCAGGTAACCTCAGGCAGGCTCTTGGTGTTAAGTACCGTCTTCCATGAGTGACATCCTGAACTAGCATCTCCAGCCCCAGCTCTGGCTCTGTCCTGAGCTCTGAATGGCTGTGTCCCTCTGCAGTCAATTGTGCAACAGGCATCTCAGAGTTGTCTGGACTAGAATCTGAGCACAGGTGTGATGGAGATTGGAGCACTTCATCCCCCTGGCTCCATACTTTATAGTTAGCATGTTGCTTCCAGTGGAACTTTCTAAAAAGTTACTTCAGCTACAAAGGTTTTGTCCTTTCATCACATGAGAAGGAGCTAGAAAAGAAAAACATTTTTATAATGTAATAAAGAACCTTAAAGAAATCGCAGCCTCAGAAACCCCTTTATTCCAGGAAATTCCCTTCATGGGCTCCAGGGCGAGACACTCCCTCTGCATCTCCTCACACAATGAACCAAGGGTCTTCATCTTGAGCTTCCGTGAATGAGATGATCTCCACCCGTTGGACCATAAATAACCTTGGGGATATTCCTTCATCTCCTCACTGTGTCTCGTTGCCCAGTCGGAGTAATGATGTCGACAGAACAGCTATTATTGCGGCTCCGTCAGAAATGGACATGGTTCCGAGGACAGTGTCTTTCACCTGGTTTGAGTTGCATGAAGGCGGTGCAGACTCTATTTCCTGTCTCACTTTGACCACTACACTTGTCCTTCTGTTCCCGGGTCCAGGTATATCCCATGGTGCTGGGGGAAGGGAGAGAGGGCAGAGTAAAATAGAAGGAAAACACTAACAACTTCGGCCCTAAATAAAGTGTGGATAAGGGTAGAGTGGTCACGAGGGAATGAGTCAGTGAGAGCAAAGGGGCCTTGACCAGAATTACGGAAACCTCAAAACATCTGCACACTTCCACTGGTAATCTGAAATGGGTGTGGATTCATGAAGGAGTCCAGAGTTTACCTTTGAGTTCAGTATTATAGATGCAAAGCTAGAAGTTGTACCATAGATTGAAGCAATTCTGTTTTCAGCAAAAGTTTCACCAATATTTTCCCAAGATTGCAGGTAACACTATTGTTTTACAAACATTTACTATATAAGCACCTATAAGTCCACAATCTCTGCATGTTTTTGTGATTGAGGGCCTGCGTTTAAACACATAAAGATGTAATACTTTAGAAAAACACACTGTGACTCACATAACATTAACCGCTTGCGCCTTTCCGTATTTAATTATTTATAAATTGCTTTGAACGACAGATCTTGATTACATAAAACGCTGTTATAATGTCATGATGGATTTGCAATGCAAGTAAGTTTTCTATGGCTCCTGGCAACGGCTTGGGAAAGTTCTGCCAACAGTACTTTTTTTCTCCCCTTCCTTTCTGGTGATGAAATTCATCAAAATACTTTGCCTTCCTTGGCTGAATTTCAAAACCCACTTGAGCTTTGGATCATCTGATAAAAGTTAATACTTCATCTGAAAGTTCAACAGAGTTTATTCTCATAAGAGAAAAAAAAAAAAAAAACAGATGAGAAGTGAAAAAACACCATATTTGGAAACTATATCCTCAATTAGGCATGAAGAGTGAAAAGTACAATAAAATAAATACCACTGTTAAAACTATTCTTTCTTTTTAGGTGTAATTCTCAGAGTTAAAATTTTTATTTCAAGTAAAGTATACACAATCTAATACTTTCAACATGCTGTGTTCATTTGGACCCTTTGATAATTACTATGAGATGATTAAAATTGTATCTTTCATCTCTACCTCTAAAGCTCATTGCTTCTCTGGTTTTAATTCTAAATAAGAAACTGTTTTGTCTGAGTTTAGTTGAAGGATCAGTGAAAAAATGACTGCAGTGTATGAAATTTTATGTCAGAAACTGTGTATATTCTACTCCAGCAATAGCAGTGCCCAGATTTATGGGTAAAGATAAATCAAAATTGATATAATTCAGGATATTCAATTAAAGAGATAATTCATTCCATGTCTGAAATTAAAATTTTAGTGCTCAGCATACACTTTGTGTCTGGAATCTCACTTCACCTGGTAAGTTGTCTGAGTGATCTCATGATGTAATTGATGAGACTGATGGTTTGAACAGGTGATGCTCAAGGCTTCCTTCTGCCCCAGAAATGTCCCCATGTGAGTCTCAGTGTCTGCTTCCCAGGGAACCCAGCCAAGGGCAGGACGCCAGCAGGGCTGGGATTTCAGAGCTGGACCACCCTTCAGCTGGCCAGCAGCTGTCTGGACCCCGTCTTTGGTGATGGGTGGAGTGTCCGCATCACCTGGGAAACTCTTGCAGGTTGATATGGGCTGAACTGTGTTCTCCCAGAATGCACATGTTGAAGTTCTAACCCCCAGGACCTCAGAGCGTGATTGCATTTGGAGACGGAGTCTTTAAAGAATAACTAAGTTCAAATGTTGTCTTTAGGATGGGACCCTCATCCAATATGAATGAGTTCTTATAAGAGAGCAGATTAGGACACAGGCACACATGGAGGAAGACCCTGTGAAGACACAGAGAGAAGCCGGCTGTCTACAAACCAAGGAGAGAGGCCTCAGAAGAAACCAATGCTGCCCCCAGAACTGGGAGAAAATAAAGTATAAATTTCTATTGTTTAAGCCACCCTGTCTGTGGTGCTTTGTTACAGCGAGTCCAGCAGACTGAGACCTAGGGCAACTGTTACAGCCTCTACCTGTGAGGACCTGGTCGGGGGGCCGTGTGGAAGGTGAAGCTCTAGCATCCCTGGCAGTAGATTGTTGGACATCGGAATGAGCTGACTGCAGCTGGATGTCATTCATATGTTGGGGAAACTCTGTGAAAGGAGGAGAGTGACTATTAACCAGTGTAAGTGGGATGGTAACAGGCAGCATGTGAAGGGTGTATCATCTTCTGCAACCGCCAGGCAGAGGGAGCTGAGGTGGCCGGGGGTAGGATGCTGGTGGCCCCGGTCCACAGCCCTTCTCCGACACCACTAGACTCCGATGCTGTGAACTGTAAGCTCATCCTTCAGGGACTCAGGTAGGTTTCTTTTCCCGGGAAAACTCACAGGAGGAAGGTGAGGGGAATGGAGGATGATTCCCACCACGGCCAGCACCCACGCAGACTGCGTGCCTTTGGGAAGCACCTGCTGCACGTGTTCATTTGCAGCTATCATTGTCAGAGGTGCCCAGCGTGTTTAATATGGCACGTTCAATGGCCTGGATGTTACCGCGTGTTTGAGATCCCTGGCATGCCGTGTGCACACGCAGACGTTTCATATTTCATGGCTGCAGCCAGGAATGAGGCAGAGGCGGTGGAGTCGCCCAGGTCTGCTCTCACGCTGTGCACTTGGTCAACCGTCTGACAGCGCAGCGTGGTAGGAAATCATCTACCAGCAAAACTCTCTTTCTTGCCACGAATTTCCATGCTCTACAGAGCAGCAATCGGATATCTATCTACTACTTCATCCATCGTCAATAAACCCAGGAGGAGTAATAGTGTCTCCCATGTGATAAATAGGTCACCTTTCAGAGAGGTTGCCGTTGACTTTAATTAGTACTTACTCTTTCTTAAGCCTCCCTTTCTCTTCCCTTAGTGAGGCGTCCGTTAGTTTTGAAGGGTGTCCTCAGAGTCGGGCTCTCTTCTTGTTATGATCGAAGAGAAATGTTTGCATAACTTAATTCTAGGACAAAAGACTTAGTGAAAATGTGGATGGACCTCACTTTAATACTGAGCTATTGAAAAACGACGTGACTCAGAAAACAGTCGGGTAAAAATTAGTCTCGTTACGTCATGCTTATGGTGTGGGAATCTGAGCCCTGTTACAGCATTTTAATTATTAGCCAAGGATGTAATTCTCATTACCATGCACAGGAGGAATAATACATTATTTTTATCAGATTTTCAGAACACGAACTACTGTATGTGTCAGGTTTTGTACTGGGTGTTGCTAAAGGGAAAACTAATAGGGTACTCCCTGTCTTTGAGAAACTCGCATTCCAACAAATAATAAAGTGTGAGTGGTGTTACAATAGAAAGTTACAAAAACTAGTGTCAGGTGGGTAAAACCTTGGTGCCCCCAGCCAGGAGAGGGGCGCGGCGTAGTGGCCAGGGGTGGTGCAGAGCCGGCGAGGAAAATGAGAGTTATCTCCCACTCACGTGTCTGTGACGGCGTCCAGTCCCCCGCAGAGCCCGGCGGGGTGCTGTCCCCAGAGGGGCTACTACCTACCCCGCCCCCGTCAGCCCAGCAGAGCCGAGGGCAGCGCCACATCCGGGCCCAGTCCTGCCAGGCCCAGGCCCACCTGGCAGGCTGGCACGGGCAAGGGGGGCGGGCGTGCAGGGCTCCTGCGGCTCCGCCTGTGCTGGCCTGGTGCCCACCTGCGTGTGCTCGCAGCTCCGCTCTCTGCCTTGCAGGCGGTTAACACCCCTTCCCCTGCCGGGCAGCTGGTCTGTCCTGGATCTCGGCCAGTCGGCCCTTCCACGGTGTGCCTTTTCTGAAGAAGCTTTAGAACCACGTTTACCGTAAAGAAAGGTTGGAGAAGGCAGGCGGGTGAGTGATTGTCACAGCTGTGTTCACACTTCTTCTCTGACCTTTAGTGTTTCAGGTGGAGCAAGCTGTAGGCATTGTTATGGTACTTGGTTATGTATTTTTTTCTTGTCTTTGCAAAGCAATTGCATTTTTTGTTCATTGCAATGTATTTGCAATTTTGTGTAAACTCTTTAATTCTCTTTATGAGATTTATTACGTGGTAAATTATGCTGCGTTACACACACACACACACACACACACACACACACTCATGGGAAAAGGAAAAGGAAATTTCAGCATTTCGTCACTGCCCCTGTTTTGCAGGCTGCTGGCCACCACCTCACTGGCCCTGCTCAGGGGACAATGGCATCGGCGCCTTCCATTGGATGCCTCTGGCCCCAAACCAGTATTATCGAAGTAAGTTGTACCAGCACCGGAGGGTACCCCCAGAGAATATGATCTGAGGAGATGTTTGTGGGATATTATTAACCTACGTATCATGTCCTGCTCAGAACTTAAGGGAGAAGAATGACCATTATTTGTGACGGTGAAGAAAATAGGAATCGACCTCTTCAGAGACCGATCTGAATCAATGTGGTCCAGCCCCACTGCTTGCTTCAACTCTGTTATGTTACGTCCATGAAACCACTGACACATAAATAAGTGACAATAAGCTTATACTTCATAATTATGTTTTAATTTCATGTACCTTGCATTTAATAGGATATGTTAAAAACGGAACATTTCACATAAATAAAATATTCATTTCTTAGAAAAGAGGAGCCACGTGACTCTGCCTCAAAGATTTTCTCATTTCCATTTTCTGCTGTGGGTAATAGGTCAGCTTCTACCTGGTCAGTTTTTTTTAGTTTATCTATCCAGCTGTGATTATTTATAGCTAAATAGAACATTGTAGCTTCTTAAAGAAACTTCAGAAATTTCATAAAATGAAACAATCATTTCAGAACCAAATTATCATTTAAGGGATGTATCCCAGCATGTAGAAAACTCTTATTTCAAGGGTTGTTTGTAGATAAGAGTTGGACACATTTATTGATTTATTCTTTTCACGGACAATAAATTTACATCCTTAGAAATTATTTTTATATCCTGATCTTTTAAAAGACTTACAGGTTTAAAATACAAGTATGATATGACAAATAAAATGTATATACCGTACAAATTAGTGTATATAATATACAAGAAATATTCCTAATATAGTACGATAATATTCATTCTTCATTTTGTGCTTCCTAAGATTTTGATTTTGATAACATTTATAATATATTTTAAATTTTACATTTAATCTGTGGAGAGAGAGAGAGTTGTCCACCATGGAAAGAAATTTACTTTATTAATACAAATGTAATATGCATTATTCTGGAAGACTTTTAATAGGCTGATAATTTAATCAGATTTTCAATTCATGAATTCGTGATCAGGATTAAATGATTTCAAACCATGCTGCTTGAGCGTTTATATATAAAAATTTGTGTTTGTTGTTTACTGGCTTGTTTATTATCCTGTTTCCTACAGAATCCGGTGTTTCTTCAGGCGCCTCTCTAACTGGCTCTGATTCTGTTCACTTCGTAGATGATGACAAATCCCAGCGAGGTATGTCGTTTATTTCTTATCAGCATCACCCTCATTATTTCCCTTCGTTTTTCATCTCTCAAATGTGTTTGATAAGGGAGTAATGTGAATTTTATTTCGTAGGGTTACCTGAAGTGGCAGAATCCACCTGGTGGTTTAAATCCTTTTTCCAGTCTGAACAGGCAGAGAAGACCAGTTTGCTTGTGGGTAAGTTTTAGCCTTTCCTGATAAGGATATTTCCTTTTCAGAATAGAACAATACGTGTTGTCATAATTATCATGATCACCAATAAGAATAAAACCTAGTTGTTTCCTGGAAGGTAGTGAAGGCTTTGATATGAAGCGTACTTGAGGGTAAAGGTGGGGAAACAGTTTCTCCCTCCTTCTAGTTAAGCATCAGTCAGATCAGAGCACACTTTCTAATTCTATCTGTAGAGAAAAAACTGAAAACTCATATGCCGATTATTACCATGGTTTAGTGGGAATGGATCGGAGGCAAGGTTCTAAATTTGTTTTTCCAATACCTACAGGAACAAATAACAATTATCTACTCCAATATAAGGAATCACAGCTCCTCGGGGAAATGGCTGATCCCAGGACAGGTAAGAAACAGTAAGAGACAAGCCTGGACTATTTCATGATGCCAAAAAGATAGAAATGCCCCTGAGATGATGGGGATGTGTCAAAATGACACAGGAATGAACTGGGTAAATCTGGGACTATTTCAGCAGTAAAATAATGATAATAATAGACAATTGCCTGTAGAATAAAATAAAGTCCATTTATCTATTTAGATATAAAAAATACTTGAATGAACCAATGAGAGAGAAAGAAAAGCTCTTTCTTGCAGCGGAGTTCCAGTTTATAAACGTAGAAGGAATGATGGAGAATCGTTATATGACAAACACACCAGCAACAGTTGTTCCAGGCAAGAATTACCCCAGGGCTCTAAAATAAATGGACACAAATGTGAGAAACAAGATATCACAGGCTCTCAGAGTATCTCCCCATAAAGTACCTAAGAATCACAAAGGGGAAAAATAGTAACTTTCTAACGGAAAAACTTGTCAGACGAGCCTCAACAAAAACAAACAGAAAACAGTGAGCTAGTTGCTGCTGTCCTAGACAATCCTGCTAGGTCCCACTGCTGGTCTGGACTGGGCTCTGGGCGCCAATCACCAGCCAGAAGATGGAATTTGTGCGTTTGGACACAACACGTTTTGAACTACTCTATCATGCTGAATAGCACAGTTGTTATTCTAATGGTTTTTAAAAAGTGACTGTGTTGGTTTTTACACCCTTTACTAATGACTAGCTACTAATTGGGGTAAAAAGAGTAAGTAACAAGGCAGTCCATAGAGTCTAATGTTAAAACATCAGTGTTTTGATACATTTTCCACAGAATCAACTAAAGAGGATACTTTCTAAAATCAAAGTAAGGCCAGTTGTTGAAAAGATGTATTCTTTACTCTATCAAGTATAGTGACTTGAATTATTTAGGTAAGTGTTTCATTTATTTTTCCGGTTTACCTCAATTGTAAAGACAACTTACAAAGAAGCATTTCTCAGCTAATCACCTTTGACTTTGCAATTCAGTGGGCATTGTTGTAATAGCTGACTCTTCTAGGCAAAGAATTACTGTTCTTTGTAATTCTATGTAACAGCTAATGGGTGTTCCATCTGGCCGGCAGACCCCTCTCCTGGTCTTCTGACCTGATCCAGCAGATTCTCCTGGGGCTTTTTGTTTGTTTACCCCCATTGGTGTTTCCTGACCGCTGTTCCCTCCGGTATTCAGTTCAGGATATATTAGGGGAAAATAAAACCAAGGGAACTCAGCTCTGTGTCCCTCCTTGCATCTGAGGACCCCAGCCATTCCTCTCTTAGAGACTTCCGGTGCCTTTTCAATATATAATGTCAGGGGTTTTAGTTTTACTTACATCTATTCCATCAGAAGTCTTTCTCTCTGTACTTTTGTCTTCAGAAATTTTCTACTTTTGCTTTTTATGTCTCCATATGAAGTTTGAAAATCTTGCCTTTTCCCCCTTATTTTTTCCAAAATGTTGTTGCTCTTCCATTGTGACGGCATAACCTTCAAGGTTAACTTAGGGGCAACATTCATTCCTGTTGAATTAATTATTATTAATTATTTCCCCCAAGATGAATGTGCTTTTCCACTGCTCGGGGCTTCATCTGCACCTCAGTTTTGTTTCAAAATTTTCCTCACATCGATCTGCATTTTGGGGGATGGTTGTGTTCCTAGATGTTTTATAATGTGTTTCCTTCCATCTCCGCCTCTCAATGCTTGTGTTTAGTGTGTTGCAGACTAATGATTTCTGTATATTAATTTTCTATCTAGGTATGTTATGAATTCTCTTGTCACTCATAACAGTATTTCAGTAGATTTTTAAAATTAACAATAAACAGTCATATAACCTGCAAATAAATTATTGTTTTACCTTCTACCTCCTGGTTTTCGTATCCCATTTCTTCCTCATGTCCCGTTGTGTCGGCTGGTATATCCAGAGCAGTGCCAAATAACACGACCTTTACAGCTGAACTGCACGAGCTGGGGAGAGGATCTTTCACACTGTGTCCTTGAAAACACACTGACTTGCAACACTAGAACCCTTGCAGTGGCCATCAGGAAGCTTGTTGGGCCTGTGACGGCCTGTGCCAGATGCTTTCTCACTAAGAGGGGAAACAGCAAGAGATAGCCTTTCAGGAAAGCATGTCTGTATTCAATTGCTTTTTTAAAAGAAAAATGGATGCTAATGGTTTAAGTGCATTTCAAAATCCATGGAGTTAATTTTAATCCATGAGCGTATGACTCAGTTCATTTAATTATAAAATTGATCTATAATTTTCTTCTCTTGTGATATCATTTTGGAGTCCTAATGTTGGCCTTATGTCTTGTAAAGAATTTGCAATATTCTTTCTTTTTCTAAGTTCTGGAAAAGGTTAAAAGTGTTGGCATAATCTTTTCCCTAACGATTTGGTGTAATTATCCAGTGAAACCACCAGAAAGTGCAGCTTTTCAGAAACCACGTGAGGTTGCCAGGGGGCAGCTCTCAGAACAGTTTCTGCATGTCTATCCTCACTTCATCATCCTTACCCAGTTCATACAGGTCATCACATTTATTTGCAGACAATTGATCAAAATAATCTCTTGGAATTCTTTTTTCTTTTAAGTTAATTTATATAATTTATTTATATTTGGCTGCGTTGGGTCTTCGTTGCTGCGCGCGGGCTTTCTCTAGTTGCGGCGAGTAGGGGCTACTCTTTGTTGAGGTGTGCGAGCTTCTCATTGCGGTGGCTTCTCTTGTTGTGGAGCACGGGCTCTAGGTGCGCAGGCTTCAGTAGTTGTGGCTCGTGGGCTCTAGAGCGCAGGCTCAGTAGTTGTGGCGCACGGGCTCCGTGGCATGTGGGATCTTCCCAGAACAGGGCTCAAACTCCTGTCCCCTGCACTGGCAGGTGGGTTTTAACCACTGCGCCACCAGGGAAGCCCTCTTGGAATTCTTTTAATTTGCAGGGCTGTCGTACTCTCTCCATCATAATATGCCTTATTTTTAAGTATTTTATCCTTGTTTTCTTCACTGGATAGTAGATATTTGTACATTTTGTTGTTTATCACAAATAACCAGCTTGCATTAGGATTTTTAGTCCTACCCTTTCTATGATGATCTTGAATTCAGAAATATTTTCACTCGTATTAATTATTGTTTTGATTTCCTTGTATTTATTTTGTTGTTCTGTTATTTTAAAAAATTCTTCTGTTGGCACTTAGCTTATTTATTTTCATTCCATAAGAAAATTTTAAATATGGTGAGTATTTTTTAAAAATAAATTTATTTATTTATGCCTGCATTGGGTCTTCTTTGCTGTGAGCAACTGTGTAACGTATTGCTTTCATTTTCCTCTTGCAGCATAAACGTTACCACAAGTTTGGTAGCTAAAGCAACACCAACTCAGGACGTCCCAGTTTTCTGGGGCAGGGGTCTCGGCAGCAGGTCCAGTGTCAGGGTCTCACAGGTGGGCCGTCCGCACTTCTGGAATCCTCCAAGCTGATGGAGACGCTTGGCAGAACCAGGCTCCTGTGGCTACAGCACGGCGGGGCCCCGTCCTGAAGCCACCTGTAGGCTGCGGCTCCATTTCCTGGTCCCTGGCTCCCGACAGCCCGTGAGCCTCACCCGCTTTGGGCCCCGTGCTCTGCGCCCCGGGCGAGCGGACACAAGAGTCCTCACTCAGTCCTGCCCTCATCACAACAAGGCCCTGGTCCCGGCTGTCTGAGGCTCTTTCCCACCAGCTGGGGACGCTTGTCCCGTTGAGAAAGGCTCTTGATGACCAAAGGCTCGATGACTTGGGTGACTGATAAACCTTTTCCTACCCTCGTGGTGGCTGATGGGGGCTCATCCTACTGGTCCAGGTGGTGGCAGAGGGCGCCGTTAGCAGGTTGCTGAGTCAATGACCACTGCTGGTTTTTTCTGATCCTGCTTTGGCAGCGGACAGGCTCTGCCGTCTGAAGTGGTTTGTGCCTTGAGCGGGCGGTGCTGCGTTGGTCCAGCCCTTCCAGACCCCTATCGTGGCTTTAGCCCACTTATGTTGGGGGTTCAGTAATTCACTGGGATTTAGGGACAGAAGTATGGAACCAGGACCCTCCTCCCAGAAGCCCTGGGTCACGTCTCCTGGTCTAGAACTGTCTGTGTGTCTGTGATGCTTGACTTCACGTGCAGTTTGACTGGGATGTGGGGTAGTTTGCGGTTACACGTTATTTGGTCAAACATTATTCTGGTTGATCCGTGAGGGTGTTTCTGGATGAGATGAACATTTTAATTGATAGACTGAGTAAAGCATTCGCCTCTCCCCCATGCGTGTGGCCTCACCTAACACACTGAGGGCCTGAGTGGAACAGAGGACCGAGGAAGAAAGAATCCTCTCCCCTCCTGCCCTGACCTCAGACGCTGGTCTTTTCCTGCCTTCAGACTCTGATTCACATGGGAATGTATGCCGTAGCCTCTGGGGCCTCCAGCCGACCCACCTGCAGGTCCTGGGACTTCTCAGCCTCCATATTCAGGGGGCCAGTTCCTTATTATAAGGAAATAGATGTTAAAAATCCTTTGCTGCTTCTTTTTTTTTTTTTTTTTGGCTGCGTTGGGTCTTAGCTGAGACACGCAGGATGTTCGTTGAGGCATGTGGGATCTTTCCATTGCGGTCCATGGGCTCCTCTGTAGTTGCAGCACGTGGGCTCAGTAGTTGTGGCGCGCAGGCTTTGTTGCCCCTCAGCATGCAGGATCTTAGTTCCCTGACCAGGGATCGAGCCCATGTCTCCTGCATTGGAAGGTGGATTCTCTACCTCTGGACCAACAGGGAAGTCCCATAAATCCTTTGCTTCTGTTTCTCTGCGGAGCTCTGACCAGTACAGTACTCTCAGCAGGCTCAGGGGAAAACTCTTACCGTGTAACCAGCTGCTGTGTGTCTTAACCGGTGTTGGCCCATCCACACAGTGAGCAGGGACAGACTACGCTCTGTGGAAGGTACTGGGGGTGGCTTGTGAAAGAGCAGTCTTGCTGGGACCCTAAATGCCTCTGCAGTGGCCTGTGCCTGGGTCCTGAACCTCAGGGTTACAGGGTCACAGAAACACCCTTGGCATCCTGCAGTGCAGCAAAGGGGTTCATTCAAGGCTGACTCAAGCCCAGGGTCCTTTAACCCTATAAAGTACCCACTGCCTTTGGGGACACGTCTAACCTTGACAACACTCATTTGAGGTTCTTGTTGAGTAGAGAGAAATCCTCCTGAAATATACGAATAACAACAACAATCGAAAAATTTAAAAGAGGGAAGAAAGAACAATGAAAGAAGGGAAGACACCTGGGTTCAGCAAGGAAAGCAAAATACTGAAACAGGTCCACATTTTGACTCAGTTAAAAACACAAAACTTATTAAAAGTCTTTGCTGAAAAGATCAAAAGCCTCTTCCGGGCTCCTGCGCCCCGCCCCCCGTGACGCCGATTCTGAATGAGATTTAATACGCGGTCCGATGCATCCAGCCTTCTTTCTGGGTCCACTTCAGTGCTCAGACGTACAACGCTCCCTATAACTTTAGGGGAGCTCCTGAATATAAAGTAGAAGACAAAGAAGATGCTCATCTTAACCGTCGGGACTGTCCCGGTGGCTATGACACGCACGCCCCTGAAATCCCCCGCAGTGGGCGTGGGTGCTCCCATGCAGTGAGTAATGAATAAAAATTAAACTAAGTCTTTGGCTGGAAAGAACACAGGCGCCTTGCAGCGGCGCACCGTAACCTCAGCACTGCAGCCCCTCGGGAAGTCCTCAAACACAGTGTTACTGAACTACTGGCTCGGGTCCATCAGCGAGGGAAGATGTTCTGCTCTCACTGCCTCTCTCAGCCTCCTAGAGGCAGCCGCCTTCACCACTGAGCACACACCTGCGTGGTACCCGCGGGAGCCCCCAGCTGGCACGGTGTTGCAGCAAGGTCCTACCTGCATCCACTGTTCAGACAAACAAATAAAAGGAGCTCATTGTCACTGTAAAGTGCCCTTTGTAACAGATATTTGTTTTCTTATTTCCAATCCTGAATTCAATCACTTATTTTATTAAGGTTACAATGCCTGTAGTTTTGTTTGTTTTCATTTGTCTGGAATGTTTTTTGTGCAAAACTTTTTGAGTTTCTTTGTTTTATGGTTATTGCTTATCTACCACTTAAAGGTAGATTTTACTTTGAATTCCAATTTGTCTTTTCGCGTATGAGCTTAGCCCATTTACTTTTTTTTTTTTTTCTTTGCGGTACGCGGGCCTCTCACTGCTACGGCCTCTCCCACTGCGGAGCACAGGCTCTGGACGCGCAGGCTCAGCGGCCACGGCTCACGGGCCCAGCCGCTCCGCGGCATGTGGGATCTTCCCGGACCGGGGCACGAACCCGTGTCCCCTGCATCGGCAGGCGGACTCTCAACCACTGCGCCACCGGGGAAGCCCTACATTTGTTTATATACAGTAGATAGTTCGATGTTATTTCTTAGCTCACACGTTGGGCTGTGACTCCTGCTTTCATAGATTTTAAAATAAATTTTACGTCAGTGGCTCACCGGATTTCCTTCTGTAAAAGTCTGCTCTGTGTCACTCCTTGCTCTAACGGCTAGCTAAGGCAATCACAACTTTTACTGATGCTGTTTAGATGATACCTATTTGCTTTCTACTCTGTACAATGATGGAACTCATATAAATCTTCCCTAGTTAAAACCCGTGGGGCCACATGTTCAGAATTCAGCATTTTTAGAATTTTAGATGATGGCATAATGCTTACCTATGCATTATACACCAACATACAGACCTGAGCACGTTAATATTACAGCACGATCACACAGTGCAGAAAAAATGAGATTATAAATAGCATCCCATTCAGATCAAGTTCTGAACTGAATGATTATCTAAGTAAGTTAGTATCTTGAGAATCAGGAATTAAGAATTTCAGAAATAGGATTGTAGACCTTTGTACCATATCTTCTTCTGTTCTTCCCACCAAATGTATTTAACTGATTATGCTATTTTTCTTTGGTTTATCTTTATAATGTCAAATATACCTATATTTCTACCGTAGGCTTAGCAGCATTTAACTCTATCTCTGTCGGTCAGCTATTTTTAAACATTGAGAAAACCAGAGCTATACAGAAGCTCCGACATTCTTTCTCTTTCCAATTTTATATCATTTCTACATGGCTAAGCTCACAATTTTTACATTTTTTTTTCTGTAACCATAATTACCATATTTATTTCAGACTTTAGTCAAACAATTCACGTACTCAATCCTCAGTGCTGGAATTTTGCCCTAATAACTTAATTCACTAATTGGTTGGCTGAAGTTCGTTCTCTGATAGTTTCCTGAAGATTGACTTGTAGGAACAATGCTCCCTGGGCACTCGCACGCTTGTTTGTAACTCCGCCTTCGCACTTCCACTATCGTTTGGCTGTGCTTGGAATTCTTGGACCATTTCCTTTCCCTGAGGACTCTGGCCATTGCTCTGAGGTGGCCTAGGCTTGAAGAATGTATGTATAGCTGAATCCTGCCTGTCTCTTTCTTTATAGGAAGGGTAACATTTTATGTAACTGTTCAAATTACTGTTTTTAAGTAAATTCATGAAGATATTTTTACAGTTGCTTGTTTTGTGTCATTTTACCCTCCTACATACACAGGGTTTATTTTAAATGTAAAGATTCCGGTAGTTCTTTGCATCTGGAGATTGTTTTCTCCTGGCTTATGAAATCGTGCTTTTGTTTCATTGTTCTAGTTCTTTCCTTGGACACACATGGATATTTGAGTTCCATTTTCCCCATTATTTTCATATTTTCTCATAATGCTTTTCCAAGATCAAAATATAACTTATATACCGTAAAATCTTCCCTTTTAAATTGTACAGTGAATTTTAGTATATTGACAAAGTTGTGTGACCATCACCACTCCCTAGTTCTAATTTCGTCACCCCCAAAATAAACCCCATACACGTTAGCTCTCATCTCTCCTCACCCCGTCCACCCAGACCTTGGTACCTACAAATCTACCCTCTGTCCCGATGGATTTGCTTATTGGGGACATTATAAATGAGGGATACAATATATGAACTTTTGTGTCTAGCTTCTTTTACTTCTCATAATGCTTTAAAGATTCTTCTATATGGTTAGATGTATTTGTACTTTCTTCCTTTTTATGGCTGAATGTTACTCTATTTATGGATGGACATACCAGTTTGTTTATTCATTCATTTGGGCTGTTTGCACTTTTTGATTATGAAAACACTACTATGAACATGCACGTACACATTTTTGTGCAAACATATGTTTTCATTTCTCTTGGTCACATACCTAGGAATAGAATTGCTGGATCATATGATAACCCTATGTGAAGTGGTATCTCATTATAATTTTGATTTGCATTTCCCTAAAGACTAATGATATCAAACATCTATTCACATGCTTATTGGCCATTTTTGTATTGTTTTTGGAGAAATTTCTATTTAAATTCTTTATACACTTTTAATCGGGTTGTCTTTTTTTTATTGCTGAGTTGTAGCATCCTTTATATATTTTGGTTACTAAGATTTGCAAATATATTCTCCCATTCTGTAGGTTGTCTTTTTACTTTGTTGAGAATATCCTTTGAAGCACAAAAGTTTTATTTTAATAAAGTCCAATTTATCTTTAAAATGCTTTCTTGTTGCTAGTGGTTTTGGTGTCACGTGTAAGAGATCATTGCATGATGAAGATTTATACCTGTGCTTCTTCTAAGAGCTGTGTGTCTTCTCAGGTCTTTCCTGGGCATGTGCTCTCCTACACACAGCCTTCTAGCCTCCCAGGGACATAGCAAAGCTTTTCAAACATCTATAAACCCCTCTTTCCCCAGCTTTTCCTTTTAAGCTTTTTGGTGTTACTCTATTTTTCCCCCAACTATTATTCCCTGCCTCTGGTGGCTGCAATATTAAACAATTGCTTCTGATTCTTTTTGTCAAACAACTCCAAGGAAACTACTTCACACTGGGTGACATCCTGCAGGGCAAGTTCTGAATCAGATCAACAGCCTTGGAAGTAGGGTCCTCCAGAGAACCAACAGACAATTAAAATAATCCCAATTCTTTGGAAATTCAGCTTTGAAGGAGCTCAAAGTCTGTTGTATCTTCTCTCGTCACTGCAAGGCTGACGGTTTTCCCCATGATGGCAGGTGTTTTCAAGGCTCGTACGGAACCTGGGAGAGGAATCTGGGAATAAACTTCCACAAGTTCACATTCTTACCAATATTCAGTCTTTCTTTAAAAAAAATAAATGTTCTAGAGTGTTGCAAGCCTTTGGTTAATTTCCAAAGTTCTGAAAAAGTTGATTGGACCACTTTTGTGATTTTCCCATTGCTTTCACGAAAGTGAGTATTTTTGGAACTCCCTCATCTGCCATTTTCACTGGCCTCACTTCGTACGTTGTTCCATGTAATGCTTGTTGCCATTTCATTTGCTTGTTTCTCTTTTTCTTCCCCTCCATGTTTTTTGCTGTTTTTGTCATTTTTACTCTCCTGTAAGCTGTAACTAATTTGGTCTTGATTACCATCATGATTTTAATTTTTCCTTTCACCTGTGTTGATTTTATTTCCTCTCTTTTGTTAAATCTCTTAGCATCCTCAGCTCTTTTATCTGCTTTATCATGCTGCTATGGA